ACAAAAACTATGTCACAGGACGTCCTGTCGACGTGCGCCCAGCTTTCCAACGTGCTGAGCTGCGAGGCCGTGGACGATCCGGAGTGGACGCACTTCGATTTCGTCTGGGCGAAACAGGTGCCCGAACTCGTCTACAGCCAAGCCATCGCCAGGATGAAGGCGGCCGAGTCGTCAGCGTAACCGTCCGCCCTTGAATGGATGCAGAATTTTCATATGTGCTACTGTCCGGTCCTGCGGAGGAACCTTTCACTGTTAAAAGCTTCCGGTGATTTTCACTTTAAGCTACGGTAACCCCCTGCAGCACCGTAGCCTACGGTGAATATCACCGTAAGCTACGATGAATAGCACCGTAAGATACGGTGCTGCAGGGGGTCACCGTAGCTTACAGTTAAAATCACAGTAAGGTTTTAACAGTGTTTGTTAACTCAGCAATAAATTAAGGCCATACGAGCACAGGCGTGCGTCCAGACCCTGCGGTTGCCCAACCAACAAGCAGCGCTCAGGGCAGGCTGCAAAAGTACGTTTATACGCGTTTGCGTAAAACTTACAGCATTATTCGGCTTATTACACGTTATGGCTCCACCACCGGCATTACATCGTTTTAGCCGGCGTAATTACGCTTTCATTGCATTTGTGTCGGTATACACCGTTAGGTCATTATTACAAGTCAGCGGGAGCGAATGTTTACGCGAGTACGAGTGGCCACCCCTCCTCCCCTCCGCTCTCCTCCCTTCCCCTCCCTCCCCTCCTCGCCGAGCCGAGCGCACAGGCAGACTGGTGGGCGGGCGGACCCCTGGTGGGTAGGCAACTGCCCGCGCCGTGGCGCACGCCTGTGCCCGTGCGGCCTACCCACCGGGCGCTTCAGGCCCACCGCCGGCCGCGCTCTCTCCGAGCAATCTCGTGGCTTGTGTCGGGCTGGCTGGGCCCGAGGAGCCGATCTGCGCGTCCAGCGCTACGCGCTCTCCCTCTCTCTCTCTCTCTGTCTCTTTGTCATGCGCTAGTTTATAGCTTTTCTTTTCACACGATTAAGACGAGTCCTGCTAAAAGAAAACAGGAATGTTGTAGGGAAGAGATTTATTTTTAAAGACAAATACGGTCTACATACCAGGTGTCTGATTCACGCCGCGCACTTCCGTAGTTAAACTGTACCGTATTCTCGGGTGAGAGTGGGTTTGTCGCATGCAGCACACGGGGTAAAGTCACCGGGGCAATGCAATGAGTAAATCCTGAAGTATTCAAAACATCGCATTAATTTTTTCATAGTGCGCCCTGCCCCTTTGTTTCCCTCCCCCGCCTCCACCCCCTCCACTAGGTCCCGCGCCGCCTACCTTTCGGCCTGCTCCGCCTGCTCACCGCCTCCCGCTAATCCAATCACATACTAATGGCGTTAGTGACACAGAGCTCCCCTCCGCCCCCTCCCCCTCACCCACGACTCTTCTGCCCATCTCTGCTGCCGTCCCACTCTGGGCCAGTCAAAACGCTCGCTTTATGTGCTTTACGTATTTTTGTGTTGTCATATCTCTTTCTCTCTCTGTCTCTCTGTCTCTCTGTCTCTCTGTCTGTCTCTCTTTCTCTCTCTCTCTCTCGCTCTCTCTCGCTCCCTCTCTCGCTCTCTCTCCGCGGGGCTGCCGCAACGGTACGGCGCGCCTCCTCGCGGAAGGAAATCAATCTTCGCCCCGCCCCCTCTTCCCTCTCCCCCCCCCCTCTCTCCCCCCCCCCCCCCCCCCCCCCACCGCTTCCGGAACCATCCCGCGGGCCCGGGGCCCAGCCCAGCGCGCGGCAGCCAGCGAGGCACGCTCCCACCGTTCGTCACAACTGCTCCTCTTCACCCCCCTCCGCCTCCGCGCCCGGGCCCGGGAGGGAGGACTACGCTCCGTACTCTCTTTTCTCCTCGCGCCGGACGCAAACGAGCATGTGCGCTGTGCGCGCTCGGTATCTCTCGTTGCTCGCTCTCTACTCCACTCCATTCCCCCCCCCCTCCTTCTCCACCATTTCTATCGCTCCATCTTGCAGACACTCACCCAATCACAACGAAAACGCGAAAATAATATGGACCTAGAGATGAAAAACACACTCTCATCGCTGTAGCCACATTGCAAAAAAAGGGTCATTTCTTTTTGAAGTACCGTATTTTTGCCTTCTTTTAGAGACTTCTAATTTGCTCTCATTTCAGTGCAAAAAAAATGTGGTCTCCATTGAATACGTCAACTTTTATGCCATTTTAAAGGTCTAACTTTGACATTACTTATGAGAAGCCCAAATTTTGGCTAGCAAAGAGGCTAAAAATATTCAACCGCTAATGTTATATCAAGTTAAGCCAAGCCGGACACGCAAGCCTAAAGCCCCAAAGAGGGGGAAGGCTCGCGGATACCAGTAACCCCTTCCAAGCCTTCCACACTCCGAAAAATTCGTCGCATCGGGCTTGAGTTTCGGCTTGAGCTTGGGCTTGCGCGTTCGGCTTAACTTGTTATAACATGAAATTATAGGCCAAAATGTTTTGTTAAAAAATAAATCCAATTTTGGCGAACAAGGTGACCATTTGGAGTGAAGTCACGTACCGAGTGTATCTTCGAATGAGCTCATGTGTTGCAGGTTAGCCCAAACACGTTCCTCTTTCGTAAGGCACCATGTCCCTTGCAGCCCTAGCGAGTACGCCATCTCGCAGCACTGGAGCTCATTCAAAGATACACATACTTTGTACAAAAATAGCGGTCAAAATTACAATTAAAAATACCCCTTTCTTCCGAGTTTGAATTATGTTGTTTTTGTTGTGTTTTCGGTAATCATATGGTGCAATGCCTGGCTGCCGCTTTCGAGCCACCCGTCCCACTCGCTCCACACCACCCCGCCTGACCCGTAAACAACACAGTCCAGCACGCATAAACACAACACGCGCCGGTAAGCGCGCGCGCACATGCACACGCACACACACACACTCACTCACACAAAACGCCGATAGAAGTAAAAGAAAGCCGGTGAAAAGAACACAAACCACATCAGGTTGTAGTTTCAGAACATTTATCTCTGTCTTTGTGGGCGCGGCCCGGTATCTCTAGGAAAACTACCTCTGATCGTGTTTAGAAAAAAAGTGTATTTTAAAAACAATTCACCTCTGGGGTGCGAGTGCCTCGCACTCACCTCGAGGAGAATTGCCTCTAACGAGAATCACATCTTTGCGACCGGCAAATCCGAGGGCAAATCACAAGGCAGCACCCTAGCTCCTCGCCCGGTGTCTGATAGGTCACTGACTCTGTGGCGTCGTATAGCCGCGCCGGTAGAGAGTCGACTCCGTGAGTTACAAGACAGGGGATCGAATTTCCGCTGCTAACCAGGGTTGGGAACGTTACTTTTAAAAAGTAACGGATAACGTTGACGTTGATCGGGGCCAAAAGTAACGCGTTTCGTTTACGTTACCGGTTCTGATCAACGTAACGCGTTATCGTTAACCACAACGAGTTAACGGCGTTAACGTTAAATTTATTTCAAGGATCCCCTCGTGCTAGACTAATTATTACCTGAAAATGCCCGTTTTTTATCATAATCATCATCAACCCGTTACTCCCTTCCCTAAATTTCTTGTTCACTTCAAGTTATTACATCTTAAAATTAATTTGTCGAGGCGTAGAACGTGTCTTTTTTCCATTGACACCCTTTGCAGCAGCACTTTTTAGACGAAAAATTAACGATAACGCCGTTCCGTCGTTAAGGACAAAAAGTAACGCGTTTACGATATCGTTACAGGCACCCAAAATTTTATCGAGTTAACGATAACGTTAATTAACGTTAACGAAAACGCTGTAACGTCGTTAATCGTTAAAGTAACGTTCCCAACCCTGCTGCTAACTCACCTACTCGCCAAAAGTCACGAGAACTCGCCCCAACTCACGTTTACTCACTGGTTCGACAACTCACTGCGCACAATTCTTTGGAGTAGGGGACCCCTCTTACTCACCAACTATTGGCACCTACTCGCCAATACTCGCGCAAACTCGTCAGATTTCCCTGACCTCACCCAATTGCAGTGGGGAACCTCACTCTCACTGGGTGAGGACCGCAATTTATGACTCAAATTGAATGAGAGTCAGATACCTCGCTCTCAGGAGAGCTGTTTTGGAGTCACTGATCCCGCTCTCCTGAGAGAAAGATGTCTGACCCTAGCATTTTCAGTGATTCACCCTTCTCCAACAGTATGAAGAAGTTTTTCGCTCCCCTACATCAGTCTGGACCAATTGGCTCACCTGCAGACGTGCCACTTGGATTTCCAGTCTACTACATTTCACGTTGTCTGAATGCCTAAAATTCTTTACCTACAATTAAAAATAACGAACTCCTCATCATTGTATTTGCTGAGAGGATGTTATTGGAGTGATGGTCAGTTGGATGTATGATGTTTACGAACCAGAATTGGTGCGCCAGATATCAACCAAGGCTGACTTGCCAAGGCAATGACCACGGCTATGTCGCAGTCAAGTAAGAATGCGCGCGCGGGGCGGCCCTGTGTGTAGTATAATGGTGTGGGGATGTTCCTGACTGTGACAGTCACATAAGTGGCGAAAGCACGGAACTGCAGCCCCCAAAAGTCCCACGCCAGTGGCTGATAAACACGCCCGGGTCTCCTTCTCCTCCAACCCCCCC